CCAACCAGATCGATTAAGAGTAGAACAAATGATGACTGCATAGTGGGTGAGAAATAATGTGAAACAATTATATCTTCAAATACTCAGCTATCCATTAGCAAATCAATTCGGCAGTTCTCGCAGCTATTCAACTATACAACTAGTGTTGCCTCATCTTCCCTTCCAACAACACACATTTTTCCATAGGGTAATGAATCGGATTGATCAAAACCTATGAATTTGCGGAATGGTTTTAGTGCATCTCGCTAACAGCCATCGTTAACTGAGGGTTTAATCTGATCTAGTCAGACCGTTTTCTAACTGCATGGAGGTACTAACACAATAAATCAATTTTACTGCAAACAAAAACAACCCACGCGGTATAATGGAAACACGCGACCGTTACAATCCCAAAATTCTTGTTCGGTTTGGGATACATAACGGGACTTTGCTAGGTCCCTAATTATTTGATGCCACAGTTAATGGGGCAACTAAACTACTGTTAATTTCAACAATATTCTCAGTCACGGAACCCAGAGCTAAGATAGGGTTTATTTTTAGCTGTCAATTATTCGAGGGCTTTGATAACTTGGCTTGAAAAAATATTTCCATAAAAATGGTTCAGAAGAGAGGCCGTCGATACCTCTAGATTTGATAACGTTACGGTCTGTTGTTTACACTCTCAGCCACGTTCCTTGAAAAGACAATTGCATCACAAATCATCCTTTTTTGAAGAACCCAGGAAGGTTCACATAAATCTAATAGAGGGAATCGACAAATGTGTTGAGAGCGAAGGGCGGTGTTTTGAACGCTTGCTATAGCTTCTAACGAATGTTCGTAATTCAGTGATTGGAGCTTAGGAGGGACTCAGCTATTGTTCTGCACTCCACTTTTGATGAACACTATAGAATTCGAAAAACCAATTATTCTGAAACAAGGTTTCAGGTGATATAGAGAGCGATTAATTACTGAGCCATTGTTCCTCAACAGCGATCTGTTTTTCGTCAATCGATCGGACGGGTCCCAATTATCAGTTCGCTGGCTTGATACTACTTGCACAACCAGTCGCCCACACACGCACACCCTTGCGTACTAAAACACAACGTCAAATCCCACCATGTCACAGCATTGCTCACAGACTAATCTCCCATCTTCTATTACATCATCCTTATCTCGTTGACCTCTTGTTTCATTCACAACTTCTATGCTCTCATTTATCACCACACACACACCAACTCAATTTTTCCCTACCCTAGACCAATCAAGGCACCTTCATTTGATACGGTTTCTCTCAGTTTTTGTTTAATGTTCGCTTGTTAATTGACTTGGAAAAGGCCTTCCGATTTTTTTTTTGGTTTTCTCTTGTCGTGGCCAATCCAAACAGATCTAATACTAGCACGACGCACAATTTATTCAAAGACATCCTTTCCAAATTTGGGTCTGATACCGTGATGGGGAACGTTAAATGGGATGAGCAGAAAGGGTCCTATTGCTTCACCAGCGCGAAAATCCGATGGCGAGTGATTGAATGTGCACACAGGTGATGACTTGAAGGAAGTTGCCAAACACCTCAGAAATAAGATCAAAACATGTTATGCTACTGCAACTAGGGATCGGGAAACAATACTCAAACCTGGATCTTACAAGGTGAAGTTCAACGACGAGTAAACGAAACATTTATGTCGTGTTTTCGATGAGACCACTTGCACCCAATGAAGCCAAGTAAAGGAAAAAATGGAAAAGGACTTCCCGGGCACATAGATCAGCGAGACTTCGCTTGATCGATTGCTCAGGGAACACCATTATTCGGTTAAGAAGCTGACCATCCAGCCTGTGGAACGGAACGCGGAAACTGTCAAAGCGGAGTGAGTGGAATGAGGCGATTGGTTACAGCGGTCGAATAACGCAACACTGAGGCTGTTTTGACGAGACCAACTACAATACCTGGTGCTGTTGTAGCTATGGGCACTCTAAAGTAGGCTCTAAAGCCGTTCAACGCCTCCCATCCAGCAAACAACCCGACTTGAACATAATAGCATGTTCATCTGTCGCCGGTATCTTGAAATATAAATGTTAGACAATGATTACTTGGCATGCTTTCAGTGGTTTTCTATCAAGCTGCTTCACGTTAATCGCTAGTGAGCAATTGCGTGTTCCAGTTATTCTTATCTTTGACAGTGCACCCGTTCATCGAAGGGCTCTTGATGCGCAGTTACGTGTCAACCACCAGATTCCGTTTCTTCCACCGTACAGTCCCTTTTTAATCCCATGGAAAAGCCCTTCAGTAAATTCAAATAGATGATAAGCTTTTTTAATTCTTTATTTCGCTTATTATCCGACACATTAAAAATAGGTTCACTGAAAACACCAAAGCCATACGAGATGTGCCAAATGGTTTGACGATACAGGCGCATCGTTTAAACCTTCTATAATCAATATGTAGTGCGGTATTTCATACCATTTTTTGTTTGAAGCTAGTGGGGATTTATAAAGGTATTTAGGATTGAGATGCGCATCGTAATATCATATATACACACCGACCCTCATGTCTGAATTCGCATGGGCCAGATTGAGAACCTGTTCGATTGAGATGGTATAGTCATGATCTCAAGTTATCCATCGTCTATAGCTCGGGGTAACGGTTTCTGCTCCTTACCCGAAGGTTTGCGGTTCTAGTCCTACCCGATACAGAGCACTATTGAGTCGCAGCAAAGATGAAACAAAACTTCCATTCTCTGACAATACACACGAATTAACCATCACTAAACAGAAACAATTTTTGATCGAGTTTATCATTGATTCCTACAATTTCTTGGTTTTCCGAACCTATACAATAAATCCTGACGCTATCTCCCGATCAACTAGTTATTCGTAGAAAAAAATCTATCTGCAATCAGTTGACTGGTAGACAGCGTTGCTTTGGTGGTTGGCAGCTCTGCTGTCGTCCGGTTCAATATCAAGCCTAACCTAGCGGGGTCTTGTGCGGTTCGCAACTCCAGGTTGTGGTTACCGGTTTCCATGACTGAACACCAGGTCCTTGGGAATATAGGACGTTCCCCGTCTGCTGTTCATCGCACTAATGTGATAAATAAAAGTTAACGTAATGAATTTCACTATTTTTAAATCCGGAATACCCTGTAGCCATTTACTCTTATCTGCTGGCAACGTGATTGTTGCTTAACAAAGATGCACAAAAGTTGAGCATTAATGTGTACTTCTTCTTGTCCTTCTTTTTAATTATTTGCGTTCTCAAGATGTATGTATCATTTCGATCCAGACAATCCTAGAACTTTTATGTCTTACCGAAATTTTCGGATAACTCAATGAAATATAAATAACTCATTGAAGTGAAATAAACCACAATCGGCACTGCTCATCACACTATCCAATTGTTCGATGTATTCTAGATGATATGAAATGATAGATCATTGACCCTGTGCAAGTATAGTTGCAGGACTCACTAGTTTCACTCTCCCGAACACTGTATCCAGTTTATCATGTGTTGTTTTCTTTCGCCTTTGATATCCCTTCTCCGAACGTTAAAAAACTGGGCGGCTAATGCGTGATGACAGGTGTGAAGCATGTCCAAATCATTGTGAGGCACACAAATCAACCATCTTAACAAGTTAGTTTTGCCGCTCACATTGATCAGTAGCTTGGCTCTCATGTGCCCACTGAGCTAGATTATCAACGTCATCGTCTGATGTAGTGCTTATCTAAAACTTGGTGGCTGGTTTAATAGACGGCCTCTGTCAGATTACTTCCGCTTGGTTCTGGGACATCTCCATGATAACTCGCATTTTCAGGTAAGTGATTATAACTTCGATAAAGATGTGATTTCATAATTGTTTTCCCCGTGTTGAACGTGTTTCTCTTGTAATTTATAACTACTTTAATCATCATTTGTTTTTTCTCCACCTTGGTAATCGGTTATCAAAGAAAATTTCATCCGCGTGACCATTGTTGAAGATTCATATTCTGCTATGTTGACACCTATTTGTCCTCAGTGCTTACTACATGTTCTGACTCCCATCTCCACCATCATTTTTGTACCTATCCTTAGACGCTCTGGGCACCCCACTAGAGTCTTACGTATCCCAACTTCCGGTTCGTGTTCGGATTGAACGAATGCCCTCTCGCAGTGGTCTCGTACACGCACGTCTACGAGGTGCACAGAATGCAACCGGGAAAACGCTAACCTTCTTGGACGCGCATTGTGAAACCACAACGGGTTGGCTGGAACCGTTATTGGTTGAGATCGCTCGGGATCGACGGCGGGTCATCTGTCCCATTATCGATGTGTTGGATTTTGAAACATTCCAATACTCTGAAGGTAATTCGTAGCACGTGAAGTTGTGCGTGTGCATTTGTGGGAGTATGTACGCGCGCACTTGCTTTTCGACTAGTCAACTAACGTCTTGATTGCAGCCAAAAGAGAACACTAAATTTTACATTCTAGTTGATTTTTCTCACCTATGGATCTATAGGCTTTGTTGATGAATAGCACTAATCATCATCATCGTAAAGCGAAATACGGTAAAATGAACTTCACTGATCGATGCCAAACTCGCAATGCATACAAGATTCGTGGTAAAATTTAATTTGGACAGGGATTGGACCTACGTTGCGGGAGAGAGAAAAAGGTGAATCACTCTCAACACACAGAGTGCACAATCGAGCTGTGCATACGTACCGTTTCAAGCGTTCTGACCTGATAAAAAATTACGTTTTGGAGTCCACCAAGCTCCTCCTCCAGTATTTCGTCTACAACTAAATTGAACACTAACGGCGAGAGAGGGCACACTCGACCAACGGCGCTGCTGGTGACGAATGGTCTACTTAGTTCATCATAGACCCTTACACGACCAGAGGTATGCGAATACAGCGACCTCAGTAAGTTAACATACTTCTGGGGCATTCCTTTTCGAAGAAGGGAGCCCATCAGAGCTTTACGATCAACCAAGTTGAAGGCTCCTTTCAGGTCAAGGAACACTGCGATCGTTGGTTGGTTGGGTGTGACGAAGCTTAAGGACCTGGCGCAACGTAAAAATTTGATCAATACATCCACCGCCAGGTCGGAATCCGGCTTGCTGTTCACGGATGTGTATCTCTCTTAAAGGCATCAAACGGTGAAGTATGACGGATGCTAGCACTTTGGTGAATATCGGGATCAAACTGATCCTGCGGTGATTTTCGCAGTCGTTGCGAGATCCTTTCCTGAAAATGGCGACGATCAGTGATTCGCCCCAAGATGAAGGAATGTACCCTTGCGTCCAAATGTTGCGCAGTAAGGTAGTAATATAGCTTTCGAGGTTATCACCTCCCATCTTGAAAAAATAGGGAGGGAGCTCATCCGGTCCTGCTGCCTTTCCTCGCTTCAGAGCTTGAATGCAAGATCGAATTTCTGCTTCTGCTGGAGAATAGGATGACACTGCCCTCGGAGTTTCAGTTGCAGATGAAGCAGCCTGGTTAGCACTAGGCCAGCTGAACTGTTTGCTGAAGTATTTGACCCAGCGATCGAGTCTTTGATCCCTATTGTGAATAGCTTGTCCCCTCTTATCGCAGACTGTTTCACTTACTGCAGTTCGCCGACCTCCCGTATTGCGTATCAATGAGAACAGTCTTTGACTATTCTCTAATGCAGCCGCTACTTGCATTTCACTAGCTATTGTTGCCCACCAGTTCTCACGATCCTTCTTGAGGCTCCTCGTGAGCTGGCGTTGTAGATGCCACCCAACTCTATTTTGATCCTGGCAGGTCGGGATTTACCGTTTTTCTCTATCAAAACTACTGACTCCTGAGATATCCAATGCCTCAGAAGGGTTTGAGGCTCAGACCGACAAGAAACATTCGCTGCGGAATGCATTGCTAGCCTAATCTGATCCCGCTGCTCATCTACACCATCACGTTGAAGCGCACTTAGCTCACGCAATAGCTCTGATTCAGAGCGTACACGAACCGCTGGAACAGATAATCGATGAGCTGTACGAGTTTGCTGAATACGTCGCCGACCAGTCAGTCGAAGAGTGAACTGAATCAAAACTAATGCGTGGTCAGACTCAACGCAGATAGTCCAATAGGACCTGCAATTTTGCTCTGCGCCACGCCAACGGTAACTTACT